CGGGCTAATGGGCTAACGGGTTAAAGTGAAAGTGTTAGTGTTAGTGTTACAAGCGTTAACGGGCTAACCGGTTCTACTCTTACTTCCCCTTCTACCTCTACCTCTCATCTCTCCCCTCCTCTCACAAACAAAACAAAACGAATCTATCCGTCATTACCCAACTACCAACTACCAACTACCATCTGCCAACCACATACTCAACTCAATCTGACCATACCCAAACTCTCAAAGTAACCGTAACCCTTTCCTTTGCTGCTCCAGACCCACACCCACACCCAATCCCAATCCCAAACCGTTACTGGGGTTAACGGGGTTATTGGGGTTAAAAGTGTTAACGGGTTAACGGGTTAACGGGTGAAAAGTGTTATCGGGGTTAACGGCTAACGGCTAACGGCTAACGGGCTAATGGGCTAACGGGTTAAAGTGAAAGTGTTAGTGTTAGTGTTACAAGCGTTAACGGGCTAACCGGTTCTACTCTTACTTCCCCTTCTACCTCTACCTCTCATCTCTCCCCCTCCCCCTCCCTCTCACAAAACAAAACAAAACAAAAACGAATCTATCCGTCATTACCCAACTAACTTAGATGTAATGCTTACCCGAAAGTTGCATTGTACTGCTGCATATGACACACAGATATCTGTAATTTCTCGTTTTTTTCTCGGCGGTTTTTTTATTTATTGTAATGCTGTGTAGTTAATGAATACTTGGGTTACGAATAAATATTTATCAAAATGTTTACGAGAGCTTGCGTGATGAAAACATCATATCTATTTACAAATTAATTTTGAAACTGGTGAAACTTTTGAGTCAGTGCATTCCATTTATACTAGTTCTTTCGTTTCATTTCTTTTATACATTTGCTTACATCTTCAAATCTATTTAGCTATAAGAGCAGACGATGTACCTTTTTTTGACTGACGCATGTTGATAAATAAATTGTCTTGTCATTTTATACTCTCTGTCATACCATGTACTTAGCTTTTATTTTTTTATTTATTCGAATGCTTTTAAAAAAAATAACAAAAAAAAATGAAATGTTTTAAGAAAAGAGATATATGTTTACGAAAAGTGACAATGCCTGATAATACGTCGGTTGCAACAATTCAATAGTTATACAAAACATCACTCTATTCATTCAGCCAGTTTTTTTTTTATTCAAACTAATAATTTTTACAAGAATATCTCAGTGTTATAAAAATCACCTTGCAACAATAGTGCAAACGTTTACTAGCAAGAAGTAAGAACTTTTGATTCTCTACAGTTTCGTGATTTTCTTTACAATTTTTCTCTATTTTCTACTTATTTCTAATTGTTTTGTTTTATTTTACCGCTTTCCATAGTTTTATATTGTTTTACTTGAATTTAATTTTTTTTTTATTATTTTTGTATTTTCGACAAGTTTTTTTAATTGTTTGTTTATTTATTTTGACAACTCTAACGAAGCAATTCAAGTTCCTTATACATTAGTAACGAGTAGTGCGGTGTAATCTACTACCCAAATTAAAGCACATTCGTTCGACAGCGTTTTTACAAATATAGTGCAGCGGCTAAAACCGTTTTACCAAAACAGCTGTGCTTCGTAACAATATAGTAACATACTCTGCGGTTGCGCCCACTAAACTAAAATAGCAAATTTGTTCAACGACGGGCTTACAACCATAACGAAAAGCACAGTAGTATGAAAGTTGTAATACAAAACTACGTTACAATCCGTTCAAATAAATTATGACGCCCAAGTGTTGCTCCTTCTTTTCAATTACTGACCAACAACGTGTAGCGTGGTATCCCTCTTGTAATATTATAAACAATGCCTTGCCATATATAACACTATAGAAGAAGTCATCACTCAAAGTCATTTCCGTTCAAACCACTGCTCTCTCGATCAACCAAACAAGTTGAAAGCTGAATAAGTCGACGAAAACTCGACTAAATCGAATGAAAAAAGCATCAGTTTACTTGTATTTTTTTCTATTTTTATATAAATTAATAAAAGTTTTCCTACGAGATTAAGGCAAGAAACGCCTTTAAAAACAGTTTAAATTTAATATATTTATAATAAAAGAAAACAATAAAACCAATTTTTCATCAACTGTTTTGTTACTACTTTGTTCTATCGTTTTCAACATTTACTAATTACTACTTACTACTTACTACTTACTACTAAGACTTAGACTTAGACTTAGACTTGTAACTGTCAACAGCACACATGAAAAAGTTAAACTTGAATATCTTGACGAGTATTCGACTTGTTCGAGTCAAACAAGTTTCAATTTACTCGTATTCTTTTATATTTTTACATATATTAATTTAAATTTTATAGCAAAATTGAACCTTGAAACGACACAAAAAAACAACATAGTTAGTTTATTTATAAGAATACAATACTTTGAAAAAAAATTTCGTCAACATTTTTTGTTTCAAGCCTGTTTTGTTTACCTTGCCATTTTCCATTTTCAACAAAATTTATACAACCAACTTACTACCTTATTACTGCTAGTTTACTTTTATTACAAGTGATTCAATTTTGTTTCTCCTCAGAGATCTAAAGTGAACTTTTTTTTTAATTTTTAGACGTGTAAACGAAAATAAATCCTAGTAAAATTTTCTATTTTACTATCAAGATAGTTCTATTCTATACCTAACATAACTGATTCTTTCTTATTCCTTCTAATCCTATTCTAAAGATAATTGCTTGGTTTTTTATTGCTAATAAACAGTTTCATTCTTCATCATTCAATTTAACGACATTATAGAAACTATTATAATTCAACCAAGTTTATATTTTATATTTCATATTTCATGTTTCATA